TCTCATAGTTATTATAATTCTAACCTCACAATTCAAAAAAAAATATATTTTTTATTTTTTATAGATATTATTTGACATAATATCTATAAAATATTTTTTATAGATATTTATTATAGATATTATTTTTTATAGATAGTTCTAATAAAAATTTGGTTAAAATTAATAAAAAATTGCAAAAATTATTTAAATCGACATTTTAATTCAATGAAAGCGGAAGTTTATGATAAAAATTAAGACGTTGAGAAATGTATTTTTTTTTTTTAAATATATCTAACAATAATAATAATAATTATTATTATTATTATTATTATTTGGTAAGCCTACCCACTTCCAGCTCATTATTTCAACGTGACCCATTTAAAGAGTCCAAAGTACAATAATGCCCCCAAGTGTCCTTTTTTGGCCGACGCCTATTTTTGAGTTTCAAATAAAAATAAAGGTAAATTTTAAATAAAAAGAATTTTTAAATATTAAATATAAAAAGTGTTAATGGTTAAAGATATTTAATATTAAATTATAGTTTATCATATATAACATATTTGATATTTTATTATAGACAAATTTCTATAATAAAATATGTATAAATAAATATCTAGATATTTACCTTATTCTCAATTAATTTAAGAACAAAGAGAACTAAAAATAAATTTACCTTTATATATTTAGTATTACTGTTGAAAAAAAACTTAATTCATCTATATATATATATAGTCGAGATAAAAAATTTAAATTATTATACTTTACAGGTTCATTTTAAAGATTAGATTAGGGTAAAAAAAATTTCTTTCATTTGAGTTATTTTTTAAAAACTAAACAATTAAGGTCGATTCGCGAATTGACATTTTTTTGTCGGGTTAACTTGATCAACTCAATCAACTCGGATTACTCAATCAAAATTGTACATATTGGGTTGGGTTAGATTTTTTTAGAATTGAGTTGGGTTGACTTTTTTACACTAAAAAATTCGAGTCGGTGAGTAGACTACTCAACTTTAATAAAATATATTTATTAGATACTTTTAAAGTTTAAGAATCTATTAAACATATAGCAAATATTTATTTATTTATTTATTTTTAAAGCAAGGATAATAGTTAGGTAACCATAGTTATTTGTGTACCAACCTTGAAATAGAGAGATATTTACACACAGGGTGGTTCCCACTTCCCCTTTTACACAAATATCTAGAAACAAAAATAACATTTTTATTATTATTATTATTATTATTATTATTATTATTATTATTTCTGCCATAAAATCATAGCATTAAATTAAAAGCTCATAAGGGCAGTCCAAAGTTGTTGGCTAATAAATTATTACATAAAATTGTTAAAATCGAGATAAATTCTTTTGAATCATGCAGTATAGTTATTTATGAGTTGGGTATGTTAGATGAACAGACTCTCCACAATGATATTTAATTCAATACCTCCTCTTGAACAAAATACGCTTTCTCTTAATCGAGACTCGACTTCTTTTTTTTTGGAATCTTAGCCTTATCGACTCCTTTTTCTTTTGGAGTCATATTTGATGATTCTATTGATATGACTGTGTTTAAAACATGATTTTGATATCATGCTAGATGAACATGCCACTATTAAAGTAGATAAATTCTTTTAGCATGATTTTGATACGATGCTAAATTTTTATAAACATATTTTAATTATTTGAAGTGTAAATTTTTTAATTTAAATAATTCTTATTAAATAATCAATTAAATCTAACTTGAGTTATTTAATCGAATTTTTTGTTTTTAAATAAAAGTAAAATATTTATTATTTTCAAACCTATCTTCATTTCCTTTTACAAAAGAAATGAAAAATCACAGTAGAGAGAGAAAGTAGAGAGAGAAAGGGGGGCATGGCAGATTTTTCTAGAGCTTTTCTTAAAATGTCAGAAAGCAATAAAGAGCTTCAATCTTAGCTGTTGTCTTGTCCAGTAATGGCGAAGAGCCCATAATACTTTGGCTCCATCTTCGCGTTAAATCCAACTTGTGGAAAAGGCAACGCTCAGAGGTGAAATCGAGCAATAAGATTCGATTTCTTCAGTGGAAGGAAAGAAGGAAGGAAGGATCATGAAGATCCGTTGCGATGTTTGTGATCAAGCTGAGGCCTCTGTTTTTTGCTCTGCTGATGAAGCCGCTCTTTGCCATGGCTGCGATCTCCATGTTCACCGCGCTAACAAGCTCGCCGGAAAGCACTCGAGATTCTCCCTACTTCAGCCGATCAAAATCGATTATCCTCTTTGCGATATCTGTCAGGTATTTTTTATTCTGGCTCTGGAAAATGTTTCTGCTGCTGTGCGATTTGATTCTTTGTTTTGAAGTTTCTGTAAAATCGAATCAATGTTGCAGAGAATCTTCGTCTTCTTTTGTACCTTTCTTGGAAATATCTACTCTCTTTCGTCGGTTTCTGATCTCGTTCGTTTCTTCAATTTTTGGAGTTTGAATGATTTGGCGGAGAGGATTCTTATTTCTTTCTGAAATTTCAAATTAAAATCGATTCGATCTCGGATTTCGTATGTAGGAACGGCGCGCGCTCGTATTCTGTCAACAAGATAGGGCAATTCTTTGCCGAGAATGCGACATTTCGATTCACGGAACGAACGAACATACGCAGAAGCACAATCGATTTTTTCTCACAGGTGTGAAGCTTTCTTCGACTTCTTTTTCGTACCAAACATCTTCGTCCTCCAATGGCTACAATGATGCCATGGATGTTAAAACTCAAAGCTCCCACGCTTGCAGCAAGAGCCCTAAAATGGCCGCGCACGAAACCTCGAGTTCTCCTTCCGCTGAAAAAGCTGCTCCGTCGACAAGTAATTACAAGGTCGAAGACGGCCAAGCAAGCGACGGAGGTTCGTTCTCGACTAGCAGCATATCGGAATATTTGGAGACATTGCCGGGATGGTGCGTGGAGGAGTTTCTCGATCCTTCCACCGCCGCTGCCAATCGTTTCTGTAAGGTTTGCAGTACGCCCTCTGCGTAGATTGAGAGTACTTTCAGGAACTTCCATATTTGCTTCACACTTCCTCTTCTTTTTCTTCTTCTTCTTCTTCTTCTGATGGTTCCTACTTTTGATTGGTATAGTTTAACGGCGAAATTCTGGCAATTGGGAATCAAAATCTGGAGAGGCAACAGGAATTCACTAGGCATCGAAAGATTTGGCAACACCTTGGAATTTGTAGGTAAATTTTCTCAAACTGGATCTTGGAATGGAGTTGGAATCTCCATGAAAACTTATAGAGATGAAAAAATGGCGGTGGGTGATAAGATCATCACCAGCTTTGGCACTGAAAACAATTCTGGTAAAATCAAAGAACAAACAGAAACTAACTTTTTGTTTGTTGTTGCTGATTTGCATATTTTACCTTACTCCTCCCACTCTTTGGATTGCCATTTCATTTGCTGAATTTTAAGTGATTAATGATTTATGATGAGAATGGAATCAAAATGTCTTTGGTTGTTTGGTTTGATTTGGCAACTAAAGCAACTCCATGTGTTTGGGAACATTCTCCTAATACTAAAATTAGCATCAACACTTTTCTCACTCTCTTTTACCCATTTCATAAAACAATAGTTTATTAAATATAATTTTTTTAGCTGGGTAAGTTCAGCACAGCTATGCTGACTTTGACATTTTAAGTGTTAGTTACTTGTTTAATTTTGATACTAAAATTGAATATCTTTTAACCAATTTGATTTGAATTTGAGTGTAAAACAATTTTATAAATGAAGTGAACAGGACTCTCCATAATGTTGTGATATTGTCTTCTTTGAGCATAAGCTATTGTGCCTTTGCTGTAAGCTTCTCCAATGGTATAATATTGTCTTCTTGAGCATAAGCTTTTGGTCTTTGCTTTAGGCTTCCCCAAAATGTCTCATCCCAATGAAGATAGCGCTTTTGGTCTTTGCTTTAGGCTTCCCCAAAATGTCTCATCCCAATGAAGATAGTATTTCTTAATTATAAATTCATAATCATTCATGGAACTTAAGTATGATGTTTCGTAGGGAAACTAACCAGAATTGCGGTCGATGATCAAATCATCATGTCATGAATACTTCCCAACGCTTTTGGGGTTATTTTTGAGAAACCCAATAAAGCAAAATTGCAATGATTGCTCGATAATTGCTTCCAATCATTGTAAGCTTTCGAACTAAATATTTCCACCTATAATATTAATAATCCTAATGAATTCCTCCACCATTCTTTTTTTTCACACTATAATGTTAATAAAATCCTATTCAACTTACTTTATTTTAGTTTACGTGTTTTTAATAAATCTCAATATTAGTTTTCACCGTTAATTTAAAGTTCTTTCAACTATATTTGGGTGAACAATAATAATGATAGTTTATATTTCTTTTTTAAAAAAATTATATTCTCAAAATTTATTGGAAGATTAATAGAATAATGATATTTACATTTCTTTTTTGAAAAAATTATATTTTCAAAATTTATTGAAAGATTAATAGATAATATGAGCTAATATGAAGACTTAATAAAAGTACAACTAAATTTAAATATTTTAAATGATTTAAAAATTCACTTCATTCAAACTTCTAAAATTTTAAAATATACATTATTTTATATTTTAAGAATATGTTCGGTTAGATGAACACAATTCTCCACCATGGTATGATATTGTCCACTTTGAGCATAAGCTCTCATAGGTTTGTTTTAGGTTTCCTCAAAAGACCTCATACCAATGGAGATAGTATTCTTCACTTATAAACCCTATGCTGTCCCTTCCTTAAATTTACAGCTCCAAAGTCCATCAACACCAACCAAATATAAATTATAACTTAATCCTAGTGATTCAAAATCTCATAAATAGTCTTCAAAAATAAAAGTCCAATAGAATAGATAGTCCTATGAACGAATTATAATATTCAGATCAAAGAGGAACAGAGAATTGGTTCTACACGCACAATGTGAATGATTTCAGTGATTCAATGATAATGATATATATATAGAGAGAGAAAAGGATTGGGGCTCTCTCCAGAAGGTAAAAAGAGTAGTTGCATATTTAAAATGAAAGTTTGAAACAACTAATAAGCAAAAAAAAGCTTTCCATCTCTCAAAGATGAATTTTTTAATATGCAGATCTTCTCTTTTGGTATTATTTTACATCTCTCAAAGATTTGAACACAATAAACAATAATTATGTACCTTTTGTACAGTTGCATATAAGCAAGACTAATAAAAGAATCTCGTCCTGGATAGTATGGTAGATTGCAGGCAGTTGAGAATAGTGAATTCCTGCCAGTACATAATCATAAAACTGAAGTAAAATGGTTTTTTGCATGTTTGATGATAAAGTAAAGCAGTAACGAGTCGATGAACAAGGTTTCGGATCACGACAGGCAATGCCGATTGTGGTCGAGGTTGATGGAGTAGAAGGGAAAGTATGAATTACCTGGTGGGAAAAGGACATGTATCAGCATGTCAAGATGTAAACGCAAAGAGCCTATCTACAATCTTTGTACGACAAATTGGACACTCGGAACATGCAAGTGAACAAGATTTACATACTGCAGTTTCAGAAAGCCGGAAATTAGAATCAGGAACTGAAATGTAGGGGTACTTTTAGAAGGTTAAAGAAAACTTACAACAAAAATGTCGACATGGAAGAAGAATTGCTGCGGTTGGCAACTCGAAACAAACTTTACACATGTGTGAATTCGTATCAACGTTTCCTAGGCACTTGAGATCCTTTTCCTTCATCTCTTGCATCCGTGCCTGAAAAGTATGTCACTAAAATGAATTTCTATGAAGGGTGGGAATAATCAAAACATATTGCACACCTGATGCTGAAAATCTTCTCAAGAAGAAAAGATATCACAAATATTTCAGTGATCTTCTCTAATAAAATTTCATACCTTTAGGCGAACAACCAATGGTTCCGGTTCTTCCTCACGTGTTTCTTCAGGTTTTTTCGAATCATCAACAGGAACAGTGTCTTCTTTAGAGATGGTCAGAGTTTCATTATCATTTGTCGTTGTTGTATCGATAATATTGTCCATTCCAGAATCCTGCCTTGCATCACTTTTAACATCTGAGATAGCTCCACCTCCACCCTCTTTCTTCAACTTAGCAACCAGTACCCACATATTGGCCAAATCATTTTCAAGAGCTGCCTCCCTTTTCTTTGCCTCTTCCATTTTCTTGCTGTAATCATTTTCTATAAGTTCCTTTTCGGCTAAAGCAGCCTCAAGGGCTTCCTCTCTTTGTTTCCTTGCGTGAAGTTCCATTTTCAAATCATCTGGATCAAGATTCCAAAAATCAAAATCGTCACAGGCTGCCGCTGAAACATCATTAGATCGGCCAGAGAGCCTCCCCTTCCTTCCAGGTCTCGCACCGTCACTATACTTACGATTCCCACCATAATTATTCTGTGTGTTTTTAGAGTGTGTCAATTCTTGAGCACTCAATAACTCCTTTTCTAATTTTGAATTTTGCAAGGAGAGCTTGGTGACTTCAGCTGCTAAATTTTTCAACTCAACAGCAGCAGCCGAGGCTAGCTCCTTCGCGTAAGAAGCTTCTTCTGCCAATTTTTGATTCTGTACATGCAACCCACTTATTTCTTCTGAAAAGTGAACTGATTCCAATTTCAGATTTTCATTCTCAATCTCCTGCTTAAATAAACAAGCTTCAGTAATCAAGACACATCCCTTTCTCCAAGTTATAAATAAAACATCAAATATGTACATATAGGTTACATTTTCCTTTTTTTTTTTTTTTTTTTTTTTTTTTTTTTTTTTTTTTTTTTTTTTTTTTTTTTTTTTTTT